GCTGGGAATCATTTTATCTATGGAGGTATATATGTGTGTCTATGTATATATATGAACATATATACACGTTTATATACATTCATATTTTTAACTATATCATAAGTGATAGAATGCATACTCAAGTTTTTGTTTTGTTTTGTTTTGTTTTTTTGAGTTGGAGTCTCAATTGGTCGCCCAGACTGGAGTGCAGTGGCCACTCCTGGCCACCGCAGCCTCGCCTGCTGGGCTCCGGCGATCCTTCCACCTCAGCCTTATGAATAGCCGGAATTACAGGCATGCACTACCACACCTGGCTGATTTTTTGATTTATTGTAGAGATGAGGTCTCGCTGACCAGGCGGGTCTCGAACCCGCGGGTTCAGGCAATCCACTCACCTCAGCCTCCCAAAGGCGCGGGATTACAGGCTGAGCCACTGAGACCGGCTCATACTCAAGTTGTAATAAAATAAGGATAATGCCCAGCTCATGGAATGTTCCTTATGAGGAATTTATGTCCTGTGTGAAAGAGCACAATGTCTAGCATATCATGGGTACTTAATAAATATTATTTTATGTTAATTTTCTATCTCATGCAAATCCCAGCACTTTTATACCTCTTGATAAAATAATCCCTCATATCTATATGACTTATATGCTTTCCAGAGAACTTTCACATATATTCATTTGTTCCTCACGACATTCCAATGGTTCCCAGGCCTATTTCTTTCATCCTCAGGTATGCCTTAAAATATGTGTGTGTAATTGGGGGGTGGATGCCAAACTCTCTTCTGAGATACCTTTTCTAGAGTACTAAAGTCAGAAGGATTCAGAATTGGCTCAGATAACATCTCATCAGAGATTCTTTTAGGCTGTAGCATAGATGTCCAAAACAGACTTTTCAAAAAGACTGGTCGAGTACTCTGCTTGGTCAGTCAGAGAAAGCTGCGGCCTTTCTGCTGTCTTTAGATATTTGCGAAGGATTTAGCACCCTCTTCTGGCACATTCTGAAATAGCTTCTATGTAATGTTAACTCACACTCAAAGGTAGTCTAGGAGAGTGAGATGAAAGTTAACTAAAAAGTAATGTGGGTGTGATCTGTATGCCTGGCAACCATCCAGGCACCTTCTATGTGGCATTCACTTAATCCTGCCGACCATCCTGCAGAGAGGCACTTTTCATTTTTATGATAAAGTTACTGAGTTACCCTTATTCTCTGCTGTATAAGACTGATGCTTGGAGACACTGGCATTCAAATCCAGGAACACTGCACATTTCTATTTGAAAAAGATCTTCTGTTGTCAAATAATGCCTTTAATACATCTTTATGCTTGATATTGAATGCAGATTATTTCATTTAGGAAAGGCAAATTTTCTTCTGTTTTTCATGTAAATTAATATTCTCCCTCTTAACTAAAAATAAAGCTTTATGATAAATAAAACTTTATAAAGAGTTATTCTATATCATAATGCGAACCGAAGGTATTAGTATGGTAGCACTCTTAAGTATTCCTATGACATCCCAAGTTGAAATAATAATGGTGTAAGAAGTATTATTTAAGATCCTGTATTTTCTTTCTTTTTTTTTTTTTTTAAGTTGGAGTCTCGCTCTGTCACCCAGGCTAGAGTGCAGTTGCATGCTCACAGCCACTGCAACCTCAACCTGCTGGGCTCAGGCGATCCTTCTGCCTCAACCTTTCAAGTAGCTGGAACCACAGGCACATACCACCATGTCAGGATAATTTTTTTTTTTTTTTTTTTTTTTGAGTTGGAGTGTCACTCTGTCGCCCAGACTGGAGTGCAGTGGCTGCTCCCGGCCACCGCAACCTCGACCTGCTAGGCTCCGGCGATCCTTCCACCTCAGCCTTCCAAGTAGCTGGAACTACAGGCGCGAGCTACCACGCCCAGCTAATTTTTTTATTTATTGTAGAGATGAGGTCTCGCTGCCCAGGCGGGTC